CTGTTTTTAATATAGTAAAATGTAAGTATAATGTGTATAGAGGTACTTTTAGAGTCTAGTTATTGTTTTTGATTGATGATAACGTCAAATTTACTTCATTATTGGCATTGCTTTTAGTCTTCTTCTAATTGTAATATAGTAAAATTTAGGCAAGAATTGTATACTTTTGAGTTATTATTATTTATTATACTTTCCTTTGATCGGGCACTTAATTGAAAAATAATAGAAATTTCGAGCAAAATTGGGAAAAGGCAAAACTTTGCTCATTAGACTGAAGTTCAATTTTTGGGGAGCATTTGCAGGACCACAGCAGCTAAGGAAACTGATTCCATGAGACTAACTTTGGGATCATTTTTTGGCCATAAACTTCAACGAAAAAAGGGAAACCTTAGAGGCTCAGGAAGAGCTAACCTACGCTGCCATTGTGGTACAAAAAATCGATCAAAACGATCTGAAGAATTAAAATCCCTTGATAAACAGTGTACGTGACTAAATCTCAACGATGATAAAAGAAACTTGTCGGTCTATAAAAGGGGAAGTTTGAGACCATTTTGAGAAAATGAGGAAGAAACACAAAATATATAGCCTAAAAAGATTAGGGAACTGAGTAGAGAGAGAGAGGGGGAGAGAAAGAGAGAGAGAGAGAGCTCTGAAACAGAGCCTCTTAGAGACTTTATCAGAGACAAACACTCAAGCGAGTGATATCGATATCTCAGCTCGCTTGAGTGGTCTACAGTTCCTCTAAGAGCTTGCATGTTTATATCTCTGTTGCATTCATCTTACCTTGTAATCATCTTTTATGCTTAGTTCTACATGAATTTTGTATTTAAGATACTGATTACGAGTAGCTAGATGCTTTACTGGAATTGGATTGCTCTTTCTATGTGAAAATCCTTTAGATTTGTATTAGGGAGATGTAATTATTTAGTTTGAATATTTGAATTAAACTTGTGTTTAGCATGATCAACTAATCACTTCTTTTGTGAATCTTGGAAGGGTAAGCAAAGTTTAGAATGATTAAAACTAGCTGGTGACTTAGAGGTAGCAGTATAAAGTTCCAAATAGAATAGAAGAAACCCAGTTGGCATGGGTGATCAATAACACTTTAGCTTTTAATGGTCTAATAGGATTTAAACATTTTACTCAGAAGAGAGTTTGTTAATCACTAGAGGAACGTTCTTTAGAACATTGGAAGAGACTTAGAGATATATAAGCTTGTGACCAAACAGACTTCGTACCACATCGAAGCAAAATCATTATATAAGTAACATAGAAGGAGAGGAGGATCCCCAGGCTCTTTTACTCAGTGTAGCCTGTCTTACTTAGATAAGATTATCACCCTTGCAGCCCAATTTAGTTGTATGCTCAATTTTTAAGTTCTCTACAATTAATTTGTTAATCCGACCATCACTCATGTGAGTGGTGAGTCACCATCTCTTATTCTGTGTCCCTATTTTGTTAGATTAGTATTTTTGTGTTCCAAACGATTCTTAGGTTCTTTCGCTCATCTTTATTGATCGACTAGACTTACCACTTGCTAGTTGTAGACGGTATGAATTTCTTTTTGGCCAACTTGACGACAACTGCAAGCCAATTGAAGCGTTCAGTTAAAAGTTAATTCATCTAATCCAAAATTTATGGCCTTAACATGTATTCATTGGATCAGAAACATTGTAACAAATCCATATCAAGTCTTTGCCAAGGGAAAAAAATTACAAAACAAAAACTCAGTCACCTGTACTATAAGATAAATTATAAGTTAGCAAATAAAAAATCTAAGAATCTCATTAAGTTAGTTTCGCACATACAAATATTGAACAAAAATATTAGATATCCTAGAAAGCTACCTATTAATCTTCATTATGTTTAACATATCACCTACTAATTGCATCATTTAAAAGCTCGGTGTTCTTTTTTTTCCCCCTAGACATAGTTTTGCGAGAAGATTTCTATGATGAGTGAAGTATGAAAACAATCGTTTAGAAATGTAAAGCAAATCGAAGGTCCCATAAAATAGAAGAACACTCAAAAAAATCCTAACCAAAATATCAATGTTCTCTACCCCAAAAACCACTAGATGGCTATGCTCTCATAAGTTTGCAATAATGGAATCCTCATGTTTGTAGAATGCAAATGGTGGTCTCTAGTGTTCCATTCATGAATGTCCTATTCAAACTAGTCAATTTCGTGGAGTAAGTGTTGAATGCAATTATGTATATCACTTTTCCTCAGGTTACAATGAAGTGTACGAGAATGAGTGGTTAAGGATTATCGATGAAAAAAGGCGAATATATCGAACAACATCATTGATTGCTCGAACACCCCGAAAAAACCCTAGTTCACTATTATCTGATGAAACAAACAAAACCTTCTTAAAAAGAAAAGAAAAGAATTTCAACTTAGGAGTAAAACACTGAAATTGAATTTAGAAGAATTGATCACTTTTGAAGGGTCAACTAGGGTTTAGAATATGGTTGTTATAGCGAGGAAGGCATCAACAAGGCGAGGCGGCTAAGAGACAATGGAGGAAAACGGAGAAGCAGTGCTTCATTGTGCAGAAGAGAAATAGAGATTGAGTTGGCAGCATTGCCACCTGTGCTAGCAGTACCAACATTTGGTGTCATTTCTATTAATTATAAGGAACCATTTTCGGCTTATAATATGAAAGATTATTAATTTGAAATTGAAGTATATCTTTTTCATTCATCTCAATATCTTTGCTGCAAGGTCGAGTTTATAACTACTTAACTCTTAACATGATACATTCTTGCATGGCTTTTATTTTCTTAAAAAAAAAAAGGAGAATCATTTCAATATACTACTGTTTCATGGAGTTTTCGGTGTTACCCTCAAAATTTGTTATACCATCTAAGCTTTTTACAACCTATAAAAAACTTTTACAAATCAATTTCTACAAAATTAGTTTGATCTCTTATAACATAGTACTCGAAATGGATTTTACAACTGATCATTATATTAATGGATTTAAGTGAAGCTTTATAACCATCATAGGATTTTCAAAGATGTTGAAACCTGAAAGCATCTTTACATGCTCAATTCATGTCAGGTACTCGATGAGGTGCTTGGAATCAATGGGAGTTAAGGGGGCGGAGAAAAGTTCGGAGGAGCCAGAGCGGTTAAAAAACAAAAGGAGAGGTAGTTTAGAAGGAGCTGACAAATTTATAGAAAGGAAATAAAAGACTCGTATTTCCTCTATACAAATTACTGTACAAGGTTGCCGGTAAGTGGATCAAACTCCATATTGAACTACTAGCCGGAACCCATACTTGCGGCAGAAGCAATGTTTTTCAACTTTTTGTTCCAACTTGACACTAAACAAACAAAAATGTGCACTTCTCTAAGTTGTGTATTTAAAGGTATTTGTGTCCATTATGTTCTTAGTACCATTTTATGCAGCAAAACAAGCAAATTTAGTGCTATATAGGTACTAGATAGATGGAAGTGATCATGGAAGCTGGATCAAGCAGTAGAACATCCTCGGTCGGTACATGCTCAATTCATGTCAGGTACTCGATGAGGTGATTGGAATCAATGGGAGTTAAGGGGGCGGTGAAAACTTCGGAGGAGCCAGAGCGGTTAAAAAACAAAAAGAGAGGTAGTTTAGAAGGAGTTGACAAATTTATAGAAAGGAAATAAAAGAAAATTCAAGAAAAATTTAGTAATTTCTTATGCGATAAACTTCACAGAAGTTCTACACTATTTTTATAGTTGATTGCCCAAAATAACAATTTACAGAGAAAATGGAAATTACCAAAATAAATAAATAAATCGTTAAAAGTGTCTAAAATGCAATAAATGTGGAAAACGACCAATTTGGTATTGAACTTTTTGAATATGATATTTTAGCCCCAGTTCATGACAATCCACTCCGTCTATCATAGAAAAATAGTCATTTTTAATGAGTAATGACATTTCACTCTACTAATTTAACTCTACTCATAACTCTACTTTTATGGCAATCCTAATTGGCATATACACATCATTTCAAGATTTTATGACAATAATATTTATTAATTATATAAAAAATAAACACCCATCGTCATCTTTCCGTCGGAGAATTGGAATACCTTTCTCTCCTAAAAGATGCATGCCAGTATATAATCGTCCGAAAAATTTATCACAAATCCTCGCAAAAGCAAGGCTGGTCCTTCCAGCAAAAATATGCAGTTTGTTGCTAAGTGTTATTCATGAATCTCAATGATCATGTTGTTGGGATTTTTCTGGGATTAGTTTTTATTGTGCCCTTATCCAATTTATTTTGTTGATGCAACTTACTTCTTGATGCCATTGTATTTGTTGGCTGCAACAATTCTAGCATATGGAAATCAAAGCAAATTGAACCCTCACAATTGGTGCCAAAGACCGATGGCCAAGATGATAAAATTGATCCTTCCATTGATTCGGGAAGAAATTTTCAAGTTGAAACCCGGATTTGATAAGTCGTGGACTCGCATTGGAAGGGTATTCACTATTCAGATACGGCAGAGACTGAAAGAGAAAAAAAATTTGTTTGTGAAAGGAAAAAAAAAACTAGATACGATAACAATTTAATTTTTTGATTAAATATTATTATAAAATCATGAAACGAGTTGGATGTGCCAATTAGGATTGACATGTGTGTAGAGTTAATAGTAGAATTATATTAGTAGAGTGGAATATCATTACTCTTTTCGAATTACATAAGAAAAAAAAAGAAAATTATCCTTAAAAAATTGTTCAAATTTATTAAAAACATCAAAATTAATTTGATTAAATGACTGAAATATTCTCATAATTAAAATGGGATAAGCTATTGTTTTGACTTGGAACAAATTAATTACTGATAACACAACTAGAAATTTATGGATAATTAATGTTGTATCTTACTTGAATGAAAAAGCTATAACTTGTAAATTATATTATTTTAGCACAATTCCCAAAATTATAACAGACTTTTTTTTAGGACGACAAATATAAGTCTGCAATGTAAAGTATTTTTTCAGGCTCAGAACTAGGCCCCTTGTTTGCTTGCTTTAAGGAAGAAAGAAACAAAGACAAGTCGCGTCTTTCAAGACCGGAAAACAACACTAAAAGGAAGGTAAGAAGAATGTGGTTGATCAAAAGGGTACAAAAAATGAAAAAGAATTTGATAAAATACTGCCTAGCAAACATGGTACCGGAGCTATCATATTTGAGATTTATATAAAATACTGCCTAGCAAACATGGTACGGGAACTATCATAATTGAGACATATATAACTCAACCGCATACGACTGGAAATGGCCAGGTGTATTCTGTATCGGTCTGCTCTTCATTTGATAGCGCCATGTACTTCTTCCATTCCTCAAGCAGCATTCTTATAATGATTATCTTACCACGTAAACCAATACAACAATTGGCATGCATCGTACAAACCAGATTAAGATCCTTACTTGGTTGACATAATCCCCCATAAAATGCCGTGTCCAACAACCTAATCTTGATGCCAATCTTCTCTACTAAAGGATCCGCACTTATCGTTTGAAACACTTGTTGATCATGATCATGCTCATACGTGTACCTTGACTTGAGCCAAAACTCGAAAAACTGGATCGTACGATTATTCGATTTTGCAAAGTAAAAACCCGTATTTGCATAGCCTTCCGTCGGGGCGCCCCCATAAAAATCGCTTGAAGTTTGAATGTCTGCATCATCTAAGAAATGTAGAAATGGATCTCTGAACCACAATACATCTGCATCCTGTTGCACGAGTAAATAAGAAAGTACGTTATGTTTTGCATCGAAAGTAGATTGCCTGCTTTGTAATGTTGATTAATATTGGAAAATTATAATTATTTTTCTTGCTTTTCTAAAGCAAAATACCGTGAAAATAGCATTGTAGCCGAGTTTAAGAACTAGCTGCATGCATTCAATCTTTCTCCAAACCAGCCGCACATAATCCGGTGTCATAAAAACTGCCTCTTGGATGGAAAAATCAATCCCTTCAGTGTGTATTGCAAAACAATGAGGGTGGATCTCTGAGCAACGGTTATATGCCTTTTGATCTAATGAAAGAACTACCAGATGATTTATAAACTTTTGGGTTCCGTTTCCATTCTTCAAACTCTCAAGTAAAAGATCGAGCAAGGAACCCGGTTCTGTCCATGCGGCATTTACAGTTGTTACAACCACAGTTTTGTTCTCTGTTGCTGCTTTGTTTAGCACTTGTTTTAACTTGGCCTCTTCGGTACTGTCTTCGGAAACCTGTTGGAAAGATTACAAAAAAAATTAGAAAACCTAATCTTCTAAACAAAAATTGCGATTTTGTTATTTTGTCTTCTTAACGTTGTCCAAATCATTCCGCAATCACACACCATTGCCTCTCTCTCTCTCTCTCTCTCTCTCTCTCTCTATATATATATATATATATCACTATTAAAACAAGTCAAAAGAGCTGGTGATACAGACTAGCTCCGGTTTTTATTATCTCCCACATTAAGGTATGCATAGATATTAAGAAAATAATGTTTGAAACTTTGATTTTTAAATAAAGTACATTTCTTGACTCCAATTAAAAGTATATATACTGGGAGTATTCACGAATTATAATTTGAAGAAAAAATTTTAATTAAGTGTCATTAATATATGCTATTAAAATTAGAGACATATAAGAATAAAATTAAAAGTGTGATTTAATGCTGCATTAGAAATGAAGTGTGAAACATAAAAAAATGGGTTTAACCTATTGCGACCGATAAAAAAAAACCCGGAGATTTAACTTACTGGTGATAGAGCTGAAGATGTATCTACACCTGATTCGTTTTGGATTGGTGATGAAGCATTAAACCCTAAGCTGCTTTCTTGGGTAGTTTCCATAGATGCGTTATTTGGTGAAGCAGTTACATTCAAGATCTCCGGACCCGAGAGATTACCTTGAGGTTCAGGATGCGATGAATTACAATTCTTGTGGCTTGATTCAGTCGTAGTGCTACTGTTTTCAGATAGATCCCACTGTGACAATGGATGAGATGACATTTTGGAGAAGTAGTAATCCATTTGACTTGGAGAGTGGTAAAAAAGCAAGCACGCAAAAGCAATAGCAATTACGTAAGGGATCGTTTTCCTAATGACAGTTTTTGTTGAAATGCCTTGGTTAGGGTAATTTTGGGAATTGTTTTGGTTTCGGGCATTGCCGGCGTCCTGATCTGGGTTGTGGTTGTAGCCACCACCATCGGGTCTCAATATCGGCGTCTGATCATCAGCCGGAGAATTTCTAGTACAGGATTCAACTTCCATGATATGTTCGGGTTGTTTTGATGCACGATATGGTAGCAAGAAAAGGTTAATACGCAAACTTATAAATGCACCACTTCGAGAAGTGCAAATGTGTTTGTTTAGGGTGGAGTTGGAACAGCAAGATGAGAAGCTAGCATTGCTGCTGCATTAAGAGGCCCTAGCTAGCTTGTGCAGTAATTTAGATTAAGTACAAATTTGAAAAGGAAACCTGAAAAATAATAAGCCACTAGGAAGCAAGGCTTTCCATTTAGCTTCAAGTTGAAATTGGGAGGAAAATTAATTGCTATTCCTACGTTTTAAAGTTGAGTAACTTTATTTTGTTAATATAGTAACAAATGCTACTCCTCTCTCCCAAAAAGTAATTAACATTATAATTCATAAACAAATGCTACTCCTCTCTCCCAAAAAGTAATTAACATTATAATTCATAAATTATAAAAAAAAATTAGTTCGCCAAATTTGTAATGTGCGACTGGATGGATAGAAGGTATACAACAAACTTCACGATTTATGTGAATCACATCATTGTGTCCTGGTTCTGCTCATAGTTTACCAATTTATTACTCTTTCTCTCTTTAAAAAAAATATAAGTTTCGAAATTTGTAATGTTTCAATATTACAAATTTTAAAATTCAACGTGAAATATTTTATAGGAAAGAGAAAGAAATTTTCATTTTGTAATGAATCTTATTCACTAATGGTTATTTCCTTTCCCCCTCGGAATACTCAACTCGCTGCCTACTTGACAATATCCATCTCTCATTTTTGTGGAAATTCAAATTATTGCTCATTTTCATCTCTTGAAGGCCGTAGATTGGTTTTTTAGATCAACGAAAAACCATCCATATATGTGGGTTAGCTAGGAATTGATTGTTATTATATATATTCTCTCTATCTCAAAAATATTATCTAATTTGAATTTTTCACTTTATTTCATTTTATACTAATTAAAAATAAAAATCTAGACTGAATAGTGAATTCGGGACAGAGGGAATACTATAATTAAAAGTTGGTCATCGTTTTTCTTTTTTGTGGAAGCTTTTTCTTTAGGAATTGGGACTTGGGATGGAGTGATATGTAATGCAGCTCTCCATTTTTGTTTGGTGTAAGTTTAAGAGAAATGTTAAATCGGGACCCTGTTGACCAGAAGAGAAGATTTGAATTTTTTATGTGACCATTAAATTCATTTTATTAGCACATGGTCAAGTTACGTCGGAGTCCTAAAAACATGATCAATCTCTAGTAGCAAAGCGAGTAATGTGAACTATCGTATGACGTAATTACGAAACCAAATTGCCCTGCGGGCGGCTGGAGCTGTATTCTTAATTAAGAAACATTTAATTTCCTACTTGCCTAAGGAAAGAAAAAAGAAACCCTAAATCACTGATATTATCATTTAACCCGAAGGACAAAACGGCGGCGATATATATTCCCCAGAGCAGCCGTCATAGTCGCATTGTGTTTCATTAAATAATCACTGTCCTTTGATTACATAGCTAATTTTTTTTGACAAATGATCTTGTACACCATAATATTATGGTGGGTTAAGATTTTAGTAAACTTTTTAAAAAATATAGTAATAATTAAATTGAAAAATCTGATAAATTTTATATAGTGGTTTAGGAAGTATGGCAAGGTTGTAGTGTAGGAGATTTTTAGTTAAAAATCCTATTTTTGGGGATAATTAAGAGTAGACCCACCCAGAAGCAATTGTCAAAAGAGTTAAACATAAAACATAATTGGTTGGACTAAGTTTGAGAACTATTTATTTAGTTAATTCATACTGTCCAAATTAATACAGTAAAAACTCTATAAATTAATAATGTTAGGCCCACAAAAATTTATTAATTTATAGAGATTATTATTTTATTAATAAATTAATAATTACTTTTTGTATCTTAGTTTATTATTAATTTATGATTTCTAGCAGACATATATATATAAGAATTTTTTGAAAATTTATTATCTTATTAATTTATTAATTTTATTTAATTTTTGTACTGGTCTCGAGGTGAGACCGAAGAAATTTATTTTTTAATATAATTTAATTAATTTATAAACTATTAATTTAAGGATATTTTCCGGTAATGAAATCGGTAATGAATAAATCCTTAGAGGATAGCGGACGATTAGACTGCCGCTTAAGTCCGTAACCAAGGAGACATTATGTTATGCTAGTTATTGTTGTCCACTGATACCATGCCGTAAAAATATGGAAAAAAAAAAAATTGTTTTCTCCACTCTTTTCATAGAGTTTGTTTTCCAATAAAATTCAATTCAATCCATTTTGATCGCTGAAACAACATATTTTAATAGGAAATGGAGAAAAGAAAAATCAATGATCAATTGACAACCATACGTGCCGATCAACATGGATGGAGGAAAGAAATGTTATGTTTTTTCATCTTAGATCGCGGGATAAAGTCCTCTTCTGGCCCTCTCTTTTGGCGCCACCCTCCAACCACAACCCCTTAAAAAAACTCTTTTCCTCTTTCTACTTTAAAAGCATGGAAAAATAACATTATTCAGATCCTTTAATTTTTTTTAATTGCGTTTCAATTTAGTTTTAATAAACAGAATTATATTCTACAAGTTTGTTGTTTATAATCTACAATATGGTTGTGGCTTTCTTTGTGATGTTCGTTAGTATAGCGCTGATTTTACCAGTGATACTTGTAGGCATGGCGATGGCACTTTCATTGAAGATATTCATCGGTTTGGCAGACTTTATCCAATAAATTATAATATGTCTAATATTAGGTTTACGTTTGGGGTTTTCAACTGATGTTTCGTGTTGTATCATTGACCAAATTGAAAGTTTGGCACATAGTACGACTAGAATTTATGGGGGTAGATGTATGTAGTTTTATCGAGGTAAAACAAAATAATAAGTATTTTGACCGATTGTAAGTTGTATTTTTTTGGTTGTATCTTCCTTTTGTCAATCATTTTTGGACGATTTCTAACAAACTAATGAATTTATTTTCTATTTCTAAAATATGCCTTAAACAACTAATATTAACTTCTTGTGAGAAATTCATGAATGTCAAAATCAAATTCATTTAATTGACTAAAATGTCCATGTGACCACTTACCTTCCAAATAAAAATTTTAACTTCTTTAAATTAACGTGGATGAAACCACAAAAATTTATTAATCTACAAAATTACTAATTAATCAATAAATTAAAAAAATTTAATTTAAAGAATTTTCCTAAGAAAAAAGGAACACCTATTTAATTACTTATTTTTAATTATTTACCATCCAAATAAAAAAAATATTAAAACTTTTTTCAATACTAAAATCCATGCATACATAGTTCATATCACCATCAGGGACTAACAATTAAGTATCAATATTTCATAATTTACTAAATATTTATCGTTATTGTTTATTTTTTTATTTAAGGTAAGTATTTATTGATAATATTGTAATTGGGACCAACAGATAAATAGGAGAATTTTTTAAATATTATTATCTTATTATTTTATCAATGTTACTCACTTCTTACTATATTATAAACAAAAACCACACTTAAGAGAAAGCACCATCATTTGCCATGTGGCATTTCCACATCATATTTTTAAAATAAATTTTTATTACCACATCTCCTAAATTTAAAAAGAAAATGCAGTCTAAATTCACTTCCACCTCCTATTTTCGTCAAAACAAAAAAAAAAAAAACCACGGGTTCATAAAAAACTCAAATCCTCATCTCCATCTCCACGACAATCGACTCCTTAATCAATCCCTTCTCCACAATTTAAAAAAAAAAAACGAATTCCTCATCAATCATCAATTGAGAATATGTGGTGAAATATACTCCTTTCCTATTAGCATATTCAATCTTTTCATTAGTGATGAGCAACTACATCTTAATCGGATAAAATTTCAACTTCAAAAAATATTTTCTTTACCTCTCTATATAAACACAAAGGAAAAAAAAAATTCTCATTGATCTTGCTTCGGCCGCTATGGTGGTGCCATTGCAGGTATTAAAATTTAAATGATTTTATTTCCACAGATCATTGGTTTGGCTTTTATTATTTTTTGTGTTTCTCGTTCAAGAATAGTGTTATTACTATGATTTTTATACGTCCATCCGTTACACCTACCGTAGCCGTTGTCATGTAGTATAATGTGATTTCTTATTTGATTAGTTAGCCTAGAATTTTTGTATGATTTTAGTTATGTTTGGATTGAATTGATTGATTGGGTTTTTGTTACAAAGTGTGGTTTTTTAAATTTGTTTTTTATGTTTCATTCAATTAGAGTGGTTTTCTTTTTTTAATTATGGAGTCTCAGTTTTTTTTTCGTATATGGTCAATTATAAAGTGTGTTTTTTCTTTGTTTAATTTCTTTTGATTTTGTTTCATACTCCAAGTTGACCAATTATTATTATTATTACTATTATTATTAGTATTATTATTATTATTTTATTTGCAAATGAAGCACATTTCTTTTTTTGTGTTCGGGGTTTCAAGAATATATTTTTTTGGATTTGGTTTTAAGACTTTTTTTAGTTTCTCATCCTATAAATAGTTCAGGTCGCTTCTTTTAACTAATTTATGGGAAATCTTTTATGAATTTGAGGTGGAGAGGGAAGGAATGATGTTTCTACGTTTATTTGTGTTTTTATACATCATTTTTACCTACAGAAAAAAATAAAAATTCTCAAATTTTAATGGGCTATGTTTTACTTTTTTTTTTTTATTTGCCATCGTGAGGTGAGTTCTTTTTTGCTATATCTTGAAACCTATGCAAATTTATATTATTTTCATTCTCATATTTGTGATAAACCAGTTTCAAAATCATATTTTTGATATTTTACTACCTATAAACTTTTGGAAGAAATAGTTCCAATAATTAAACGTATACCCTTTGGAAGAAGCTAACTACAAAGCTATTATAAATCTCCAAAACTAAGTATTGATTTGGCAAAACCAATGGAGAAAATCAATAAATTATCTTACTAATATTTAAACTTATTAGGATGCTTTTATATTTTGTCTAGCATTTACTTCAAGACATATATTTGATCAAGTTTATTTATATTTAAGAAGTAACACT